TCGCACTCTTTTCGCGTTGGTGCAGCTAGTCTGGCAGCAGAAAACGGCATGTCTGACGCGCAGATTCGGGGTCTTGGTCGTTGGAAATCCGATGCATTCAAGTTGTACATACGATCGCCAACTGCGTGGGCAAACTAATTAGGTTCGTTTCTGGTTATTGCAGTCACGGGCTGGTAACCCGTTTAGAACGACCAAATAATCAGTTCTCGACAGGCATGGGCTGGAGAACTGCCTGGTGTTCACAAAGAAATTATATTTAAGGTCCGTATCATTCAAAGTTATCGCTCTCGGCAGGCATGGGCTGGAGAGACGATTTTATTTTTATTCTTATTATGCGGACCGGAAACACGTCAGAGATTGGCCTGGTGTTTCTGATGTATGGACTAGCGTTATTTTCACTTCGTAATTTTTGTTCTGTCTTGGGCCTTTTTTCGTCGGTTATGTTTTTACGTTTTCCTCAATGCCTGTAGGAGTAATCGGCTCTCGGCAGGCATGGGCTGGAGAGCCGATTACCATTATTCTTATATCAGACCGGCAACACATCGGAGGTTGGCCTGGTTTTTTCTTATGTCTGACTCGCCATTTGTTTTTGGCTTGGTGTGCGTGCTCGGCCTTGGTGGGGTTTGCCACAGAGTGTGGCTGTTGGCGTAATTTGCCCCACCTAATTTTTCCTGAGTTGAAATGTCATAGTGATTTATAATTTCGTTATAACAGTGTGCTATCATGTAATCACAACTTGTTAGTGATTTTTGTCAATTAAACGCCACTTAAGTGGCCATTAAAATCCAGCACGATCTCTGTATTTAATGACAGTAAGCGAAGGCCGTCGCATGCACACAAAATCCCTACGACGTATTATTTACCTGTTGAAAGGGCGTCCCAATATAAAGTTGCTTTAATTGAAAAGAAGCTATTTCAGGGTCGTAACATGGTATATCCGGGACCCATTGATCCCTATTTTCTTGCCGTTATTTTGATCCCTGAGCCCCATTTTCCCCAAAATTTTGATCCCTGAGCCCTGATAAAAGAATTGATCCTATCCATGTTTTTACACAAAATTTTAACTTAGGCAACTTTGTTTATCTCCAAATATAGAATATAGAACATGCTCAAATGGGCTTATGAGAAAAACATTAACTTTAATTTTTAGTGCAAGTTGTAGGTTCTATCAGAGCTTTCTATTCTGCTATCCCTGTTGATGTTGTAGTCTCTTTCACTGTGTGTGTGTTACAGTGAGGATCACGATCAATTACCAATAGCAAAATACCTGCTTTACATGAAGTAGAAAAATTAAATGATGCAAGCCACAGGCTCTACAGTTTACCAGCATATCTATGTCAAGCCCATTAATGGCTTTTCCTGGCTTAATAACCATTGTAGATTGTCAGAGGACATATCTGGTGGTAGGTCTTCCAGACCTACTCCTTCCAGCTTCAAATCTAATTGGCTCTGAAAAGTTGTCCGCCTGAGCTTGCTCCCCTTCCTCTTCGTCACCACCTGACGCAGGTGAATCATCTGATTCAATTGTCCCCTGGAGCAATGCAACTAGGCGTTGCTCTTCAAGGCAGCTCAAACTGAAGTTGTTTCCATCTTTTATTATTTGAACTTTCCCAATGATACACTTAAGTTGACGGTGCCCAGTCTGGTATACAAGGGGATCTTCTTCTGACTGTTCCAGACATCTCAAACCCATGTGATCTTCCACGAATGCATCACCGTTATGGTGGAGATCTTTTAAAAGAACTGCAAGGAAGAAAGAATGATACACCTCTTGTAATTGTGCTTGAGAGCAACTACGTCGCCTTTTGAATAGATAATCTCATATTCTTCGGCTGCGTCTTGAACTGTAGTTTGTCCTTCACTCCCTTGAACCTCACTTTCAGCAGATCGACTTTTCCATGTGCCGACGTATTCCTTCTGAACATACTCAGAGCAAGTGGAAGTGTACCAGCTCTTTCTTTGGTCTTCCCTCTCGATCGTTGCTGTCGCACACCTCGTCCGAATTCTTTCGCAAAGCCCTGCAATGCCTTCCTTTGTCGCTCCTTTCCCTCCGCGCTCGTTTCCTCGTCCATATCCTCCTTGAGGTTTACTCTTGCCGTGCGACTTTCGAAGCCATTCCGGTGCCTTTGGACCCAGCTTTGTCTGTGTGTAAAGGCTTTGAAGACCGGTATAAAATATAAACGAGGATTGATGGAGCCTCTCTATTGATTCTAAAAGGCAGCTGGGCCGCCTCGATGCATAGTCGTTTAGAGCGGGTGTTCTCACTCTACTGAAAAATTCAGGCTCCAAATCTAAGGTGGTGATACCTTTCGAGGCCAACTATTACATAAGCCGAGGCCGAATAGCCCAAAGGGCCGAAAAAATTCTTGTAGATCAATATTGTCACTAAAGTCTGTAAATTTTGTGCAAAACAAAATAGCCACTGCACGAATGAGGTCTGAAAAAATCTTGCGTGACAAAAATAACCCATCCCCGCCTCAAGACGAAGACGGAGTTTTCTTCAAAGTATTTTACAGGAACCTTGCTTTGTTACATCTTCGCGTTCTGTTATTAGCATTTATGGTTTTGTTGGAAAATACACATACTACACTTGCTGAAAATGTTGAAAATTTAATAAGCGCCCAGCCTCGAATAAGCGCCCACCTCGAATAAGCGCCCACTCTCAAGGTCCAAAAATTTAATAAGTGCCCAGGGCGGTTAATCGAATAAATACGGTATTTATCATACAACCAGCATTTATTAGTTATACAGTAACGGAATGTGTCCTTTACTTTCTCGGCCGAATACTAGTACTGGTAGGTGAACCGATCTCGGTTTCTCATCAGAGTTCGAGATAACCCTAAGACTCCATGCAATTAGACCAGATTTATTAAATTGCGAGAAAGCATTTATTTTGCAACAAAGCGAGGGAATTCATTGTACTTTTGTATTCTACTTTTGACGTCCATTCTCATTATTTATAAGTACTTTTAAGAGTTAAGTTACTGGTCAAAAAATACGAAACTCGATTCATAGTCGCCTTGTGACTTGCTTAAGGCGATGAGGCAATCGGGACCTATACAGTAAATTCCGCTTTCAATGAATCGGTTTGTCCATTGTCCTGGCGGTGTATTGTTATGTTTGTTCGGCCCAAAAACTCTATGCTTGGACCCTTGCCAGGAGTAAATAAGTCAAGGAAGTACGTACGTACCTTTCTCTGTCACAGGATTTCTTTTTGTTCTTTTTCTTCTTCCCCATTTCTCGCAAAAAAAGATATGTATAAATCGCTTTCTCTGCCTTCTGGCGTTGACAGCGCGTTGAGGAGTCGCGTTACAAAGCGAGAAAAGTGACTTGAGATTCATATTACGGTGCCCTCAACAATCAATAAACTAAGAATATGATACCATGTTTTCGTCAAATAACCAGGACTTCGTATGACAGGAACTGTCGCCAGCCAGAAGCAAGAATAGGTATTAAATGTACCTCGGCCAGGAAATTCTATGGACACAAACCTTATTAAGCGGAAAAATATTGTATTGAAATAGACTGTGTAAAAAATCTGATCCCTGATTAGCTCTGATTCGGGCTCAAAAGCCTTGTGATCCCTGATCCCATTCTTCTGAGCCCTGAGCCCTTTCCTCTGAGCCCTGATCCCAGTTATATTTTGGACTTTGAGCCATGAGCCCATATACCATGTTACGACCCTGCTATTTGGTCCTTAACAAAGAAGAAAAAAAAAATAAGAAAGAAAAGTTAGACAGAATCATTACACTTGACGGTGGAAATGACAAGACTTAAATCCCACAAAACCTTGCACAAAGCAAAGTTACTGCCGAAACCACAAAGTGGCTCTAAAAGAAAAACCTACCGACTCTCCGCAATGATTCTTCATTCGTATTTTAATTTAACAATTCATAGTTTCGAAGACAAGTTAAGGCCAATTTTGCTGTTTACGATAAAGATCCTCGAATTTTTTTAACTCCACGCAAGCATGCCAAGCATGCGATCCGGCAATCCCGCTAAAATTTCTCATAATTATACATAATTATGCGAATGTTTGGACACGAATCAACCAATCAAACACTACCCGGTTTTCGGGTAGTGACGTCACTGGACGGCATTAGGGGCCGGTCTATTCAGACGTTGCTAAAAGAGTAAAAAAGGACTCAAAGTAATCGTCTGAAATTCAGGCTAATCTGGATAATGCAATAAATTTTCGCCTAGCTGAGGTCAGCCATCTCATCGCTGCAAAAGGGCCGGAAAGGTACCGCAAGAAGTGTCTGATCTCTTAGTACCAGACTGGCAAAAAGAAAGAGGAATCTCAACAGGCAGTTATCGTTATGATTTTATCTGCTTTGAGCTCGGCCACTATGCTGCAGAGCGTAACTAAATACTCAAACTATCTGACGTATGGCCGGGATATAATAAGCCAGCCCAAAAAACCAATACACAAATACGGCAGTCATTTATCAACAGGAAAGCATCATGAGAAAAGTTAGATACTGGTTCGAATTCGTACTAAGCACTAATACGGGAGATTGCATGATACATGGTATGATGTACGTTCCTAGTGATGGAGTCAAGTGGATGCCGAAACACATCGCCCTAGGTAGTATCCTTCGTCAAGACTTCGTCAAGAGACGCCTTCAACGCTGTTAGTAGATCTATTGCACAAGGCGGGCCATATACAGCTACGACAGGCAAATCGTCAAGTTGGACCCCTCACTGGTGCAAGATACAGTCTGTTCTTGAAAAAGATGAACGGCACCGTTGTCCTAACTGATCTAAACCCGGACAACTTCATGCAGTTCACTGCTAATAACATTGACATCAACGATTCGTTACTAGGCGGAAAGGACATTTTCCACGCAACACAGGTACCTGGTTGGCAAAGAGGCCCAAATAAAACAAAGCATTTAGCAAGCTTGAAGCCTGCTGACAGAACTGCCCTTGTAATTCCTGAGGCATTATGCAGCAATTGCAGGCAGCTAATATCGAGGAAGACAAAAGTGTCCCGGGATTTACAGAACCTATTGAACAGAAGTGGTATACTGTTTTTATACTCTTGTTTGGCGTCAGGCATACTTTCCCGAAACCAGTGCTTCCGAACCCAAAGAAGACAGGCTGGGCGCAAGCTGAAGATCTACTGGTCCCTGCCT